TATACATCCAATATTTATAAGCGCATAGGCATTTTTATTTTTACGAAGTTATTTTTTTAAACACAGCGACCATTTTTAGAAGCTATCAGAAATGCCATTTGTATATACATAAATACTCACATTGACATACTTGTACACAAACTTATCTACATATATACATATTGNACGTGCCAATGTATATATATATTTAGATACATATTTACATGTATAGTATAATAGTATATGCATATATTATATACATCCAATATTTGTAAGCGCATAGGCATTTTTATTTTTACGAAGTTATTTTTTTAAACAAAGCGACCATTTTTAGGAGCTATAGCAATGCCATTTGTATATAAATACTCACATTGACATACTTGTACACAAACTTACCTATATACTTATTCNACTACCATTGATGAGTCCGTGAAAAAACGCATTCAAATTATTGCGTATGCTAATACTACCAAATAGTAGAATTTTTCTTTGACATGACTTAAAACGTTTAACTATATATCTGTAGACCATAACAAATGACTTACTTTCATATGACCGGATACGGACTTTTTTGTTTTGCTCAAACTAAAATATCTGGTCTCTGGGTCCATTTTCGTTTACGTAAAAACTAAAATTGAATTCTTTAATTTTGAACAAAATACAATTTTTTGCATAGGTACTTTTAGCGCGGTCCAGTTTATNGTCTCTGGGTCCATTTTCGTTTACGTAAAAACTAAAATTGAATTCTTTAAATTGTTATTAAAATAATGAACAAAATTAAATTTTTTGCATAGGTACTTTTAGCGCGGTCCAGTTTAGGAATGTCTCTTAAATGAGGCGAAATACTTCGCAGTCATAAAATAGGCAAAATTTTATGAATCGCTTGGGAGAACAGTAAATTTTTTGTTAAGCCAAAATAAATAGACGTTTTATACGTGCCAATGTATATATATATTTAGATACATATTTACATGTATAGTATAATAGTATATGCATATATTATATACATCCAATATTTGTAAGCGCATAGGCATTTTTATTTTTACGAAGTTATTTTTTTAAACAAAGCGACCATTTTTAGGAGCTATAGCAATGCCATTTGTATATAAATACTCACATTGACATACTTGTACACAAACTTACCTATATACTTATTCCTGCGCATACTATGTAATTCGACTGTCAAATACCATAAGCAAAATATGAACATAGATACATATTTCACCAGTCATAAAAGTATGTTTACAAATGCAACAAATAGCAAAGCACTATATCACAGACGCATTGTAATGCATCAGTTGAAGACTTTTATTACAAGAAATTCTCAAAAATAGCCAAATGCGGACACATGCACATAAATCTAAGAGAAAGAGCTAAATTTTCGGCGCTGCACAAATTTTGGTGAATAGCACACGAATCACAATACATACTTATGTACATATGTATATGTACATACTTACATATATCGTATTATAGTGTAAATATGCATTAGGAGCAGGCGAGGCGTGAAGTTCGGCTAATAAACTTTTTNGTGAATAGCACACGAATCACAATACATACTTATGTACATATGTATATGTATATACTTACATATATCGTATTATAGTGTAAATATGCATTAGGAGCAGGCGAGGCGTGAAGTTCGGCTAATAAACATTTGTTTTGTAAACATTGTTGGTTGCACGCCTGCGAATTTGTTTATAATAAAACAAGTGAATTTTGGAAAATTTTTAAATAGTGTTGCGAGTATTTTAAATAAAATAAAAATAAAAATAAAAAAAAAATAAAAATAAAATACATACAAATTCCAGAAGTAATAAATAGCAAAATAAATAAAATTGGAGTTTATTTTTTTTAGCAAAAGTTATTCAAGATTACATATGTATTGATGTAAGAATTTTCAACACTGCTTGTCCAACTCATGTCCAGGCTTTCGGTTTTTCCGTTTCCATCCAAAACTAATTTGACAAAAGTTATCGGGAATCGGCTCCGCCATACATTGCCTTCGCAGTCTGTCTGAAGAAATAACCAATAGCAACAAATTTTCGAAAGCTTCTCAAATAAAGGACGAAATAAGAGTGGCATACAAAGTTTTACTGTTGTGCGGGAAGCGGGTGTAATTTCAGCGTGATTTGAATAATTTTCAACGAATTATTTTTCCATACCAAGTTTATTAATTGCACCGAGTTTGGTAGAAATTTGTGAAATAACAGTATGATTTTCTGATAGGTGTTTATTGCAATCCCTGATTTTGAGTCAATTAGCTTCAGTAGTTACTGATTTATCACAGTTTTATGGGAGATGGGAGACGAGAATAAATTTCTTAGCTGGACCCTGGGCAAGACTCATATGGAGATTGGTAAGAATTGGTAAAGCAGCTACTGAGATAAAGCAGTCCATCATAAGTGGGCGGGAACCACGCCCATTTTCCAACAATTTCATTCAAATATTATTTTGTACCAAAATTTTTACTCACATGCTAATTTTCAACGACAATTTTGACCCTATTTCCTGAATTATCGTAGTTTTTGCATTTTCCGAAAATACCGTTATATGGGAAGTGGGTTTGGTTACAGTTCGATTTCGCCTATTTTCAACACCAACCTACCTTAATTAGTAAAGTTCTTGGAAACATCGAAGTACCGTAGAGTGCCCAAAGTTATAGACTAGCAGTAAATCCTTACGTAAATTGACAAACATATAGAGCTACAAACAAAGTATGTACAACACATCCTGCAAATTATTATTGAGTTCCATTTTTTTCACTTAAAAATAATGATCATTCAAAAAATCAAAAACTATACCAGCGCGATTTCCGCCGCATCCTTTTCAGAGGTAGCGACAGCCCTTTCAATTTTATGAATAATCATTATTTTTAAAGGGAAAAAATTAAACTCAATGATAATTATTTTCTCTGAGCCAATAAATAAAAATCATAAAATAATCATTATTTGTGATCGAAAAAAATAAAAATCAAATAATAATTATTTCCGCTGAGCAAAAAAAAAATAAAAAATTAATAATAATTTTTATTTTAGAGCGAAAAAAATAAAACTCCTAAAATAATGATTAAATGCTGAGAAAAAAATCATTGCGCATTTTCATTTGCACACACATTTAATTTTTATTTATCCTACGATCTTCGTCGCTAGTAGCCGGCTTTTTTCGTGGAAGGCTTTTAATATAAATGAAAGAAATTACAATTTTTTTTTATAATTTTTCATACCAACTAACAAGCATACTTATCTTCTATCTATATATATAAATGTGAATGACTTTTCGTTTACTACCTTTTAACTGCGGGTTCAGGTTAGTTCTAAATATATATACATACATATTGCACAGAATAGTACCAATCGTTTTGTTTGTAATCCAAAAAAAAAAAATATTTTTGCAAGTGCAAACATAATTTAACGCAATTAGAAAAAGAAGTAATAAATAGTATGTGCAACTATAAAAATAATTTATCAGCACTTGTCCCTTGGCTGAAAAAGTTTTGCCAAATTTCATAAAATGGCATAATCTTTAAACTTCACAATCCGCTATTATCGGCAACCAGCTAAAAGTTTAAATTTATTCATTAAGAAGCCCGGCAGCACACATAGCAAGCACAGCAGCACATACATACATACATTCATACATACACATACATATGTACATATATATGTATGTGTTTAGTTACAGATACTCGCGTGCGGCCGCAATTAAACGCCAATTCACATAAATGCTTGTCATTTGGCGCGCACTTATTTAATTTTGTGCAAATATTTCAACGCCNTCACATAAATGCTTGTCATTTGGCGCGCACTTATTTAATTTTGTGCAAATGGCGTTGAATACAACGCTGAATAACTCATTAAATCATATTATTTTTCAAACTTCGACACATAATCAGTGGGCATAATTTTAATTTCGTTGCACCACATTTTTGTTGTGGTGATAACACAAATATGAAAGCTTGGCATTTTAACTCACAGCTATGCGCCACCGCGGCGTATGAGTAATTTATTTAAATCATGATTAATGAATACGCGGAATTCAGCAATGCAGCAATGAGATTTCAAATTGTGATTAAACTAACAATTTCAATTCGATTGCATTTTTTTGGAATAGTGGCAAAGGTGCTTCATATTATGGAAGCTTAATTCACGTACCGGTACCTACGCATGCATATTTAAGTAGGTTGTCAATGTCTGGTTAACAAAAATCGGAGGTAGAAGCTTCGGTTAACACTAGACTGATGAGTATACTAATCTAGTACGTTTACGATCACAAACTTAATTTTTTTCATAGAAACTAGGAATTTGAAATAAAAATTATTTTAATTATGTCGACAAAAATATTGATAACTAAATCTATAAAAAATATCGACAACAAAATCGATAAAAAATTCGATAACAAAACCGATAAAAAATATCGATTAATATATCGATAAGTTCCGAATTTGTCAAGCCATGACAAATGCAAATGCGTGTATTTTGTGTGTGTATTGCAAATAATTTGCATGTGTGTGCATGTACTTCCGTTGCACAATTTCCGTTTGCAATTTCCGTTGCACTTGCCAATTTACTCCCAACCAACCAACCAACCGCCGCACAGTGGGACAAAAAAGGTTGCTGTGGACAAATCAATTTTGATAGCCAAAATATGAACCGTTTTGAAGTTTGCTTTTTTCTAAATTAAAGATAATTAAATTTCGCGTTGATCTATCCGTGGCGATTTTTTTAAAAAGCTCTAGTTTTTTACTTTTTTATGTTGAAAAACTTATTATTTGAAAAAATTTTCTTAAATATTTTCCCATAGGATACATTTAATTGAAGGAGGCATTTCGTTTGTTATCTATACTAGTTTCGGTCCGTATTCGTATTTATATTATTAGCAAGGATTTTACTAATTAAAAAAAAAAAAAAAAAACAGACTTATTTATTTTTGCTTAGTCGTATTTCTATTTATGTGTATTAACTAAAAAAAAAAATGTCCATGACTCTTTTCTTTATATTTTTTTTTTGTCCCCTTAACAGGAATTGGAACCATATCCGAATGTCACCTACGTATTTTGTACATTTTCGGAAAACAATACGCTCATCACCCTAAGCAACTATCAAATAATATTTTTCGCCGGCTCCTATCTGCTGCCGCTAATGGCAATCAGTGGTCTATATGTGCGTATGATTATGCGTCTTTGGCATCAGGGTAATGGCGTACAAATGTCAGTGAAATCGCAGCGTGGCCGCAAACGTGTTACACGTCTAGTTGTGGTTGTGGTTGTGGCATTCGCTTCACTTTGGCTGCCCGTACAGGTAAGTAATATTAAATACGAGCATAATTTGCATATAAAATACACACATACACACACACATTCAAATATGCACTAACATGCTTATAAAAGGCTGTCCATACATAAACAGCCCGATTCTGTGCACTTGATAAATTAAAAGTGTTTATAATTTGTAAATTTTTTATTATAAATATTTATAAAGAATTGGTATTCTAGCACGGAAATCAAAAGCTCTTTTCATGATAAATTATCAAGATTGAAAATGTTATTGCGAATTGAAATTTCATGTGAATATACATAATTTTTGTTTTTTTTTTTTTTACTTTGCGAATATAGCATAGCAGGTTTCTACTGGCAATCCTAAGTAAATTTTCCGTAGATACCATGGGTCTAAAATAAATTTGTAGTTTGACAAATTGCGAAATTAGGTTTCGCAGAAATTGTGAAAATGTTCACTGCTGCGCCCTCTGGTGGCAGTTTAACGAAAAAGTGAAGTGCAAAAATGGATTCCTCATGCAACTACTACAGCAAAATGCTAGGAAACCTCTTTTCACAATTTTGCAAACTCCAAATTGATTTTAGACCCATTTGGCTCCATTGGCTAATATGCTTNGGTGGCAGTTTAACGAAAAAGTGAAGTGCAAAAATGGATTCCTCATGCAACTACTACAGCAAAATGCTAGGAAACCTCTTTTCACNGGTGGCAGTTTAACGAAAAAGTGAAGTGCAAAAATGGATTCCTCATGCAAATACTACAGCAAAATGCTAAGAAACCTATTTTCACAAATTTTGCAAACTCCAAATTGATTTTAGACCCATTTGGCTCCATTGGCTAATATGCTTTGAATTACGCGTAGAATCTATCTGTGCTACACGCGCATAGTCGAAAAAAATCTCCGATACAAATTGACCCGCCCTAATATATGCATTTACAGGTTTGATATATCAATAATTAATGTTATGAAATTATGCGTTTATCTATATACATACATACATACAAATATGCGATATAATTCAATTAAAAAGCTTATACAAGCACATATTTACAAATGTATATATACATTAGGGTGGTCCAAAACAAGTAAAGTCGGAATATTAATGCCCTCACAACTTTTCGTAGAAATAGTATGGAATTATTGAAAGTCAATATTTTGCGATCGGGAAACTCTGGTTCTCTTCTGGAGACTTGCAGTAACAATGCTCAATTGTTTATTGAACCATTTTTTAATACTAAAATATTGATTTTCAATAATTGTATACCATTTCTACGAAAAGTGGTTTTTTCCTATATAAAATACATGGAAAACTTTGTGCGCTTTGGGCGACATCCAAATATTTTTTGATTTCAAAATAAAAAAATTTGGGTCTAAATATTTTATCGGTATAAAACAATCCTAGCGGGTGCGAGCATACAAATTCCGACTTTGCTTTTTCACATGCGTTTTTGGACCACCCTAGCATGCATACATATGTACACATAAGAATGCATAAATATGATTTTAAAAGTTAATATAAGTTTAAACGTGTATAGGTATACTCACTTGTTACAATACATATTAAAATACGTAAACATACATACATTTGTACGAGCATACCCGTCGCTGATTATTGCACACTGATTACTGGCAGCCCAATTCATTAAGTGTCCCTTATTTCATTATAATTCCTCATTAATCTACTTTTAATGCGCCTGTATATTTACACTACACTTCAAATTAATTCAATTTTTTATTGTCCTGCCGCCAACACCAACCAACATCATCACCATCTCCAACACCACTACCACTCGTCAACTGCTCATTATCCACTTCTCTTTTCTTTTTTCTACCTTTAATCAGTTGATTCTGCTGTTAAAAGCGCTCGAGGTGTATCATTCGAATACGAAAACCAAACTTTTGCTGCAAATCATCGCTCAAACGCTGGCCTACATGAGCTCGTGCATAAATCCCGTATTGTATGCCTTCCTCTCGGATAATTTTCGCAAGGCTTTCTATAAGGTGAGTATATATAAATACTTATATATGTATGTACATTAGACCACCTCAAAAATAAAAAATAAAAAATCCTGCAATGCGACCGAAATAAGGCTCAAATTTTAGCATTTCGTATAGTCATAATCCTCCAAGAATCACCTCACCTCTCTAGGACAATTGTAAGAGGTGCCGCCTCGAGCCTTTAGTTTTACCATAGAAATTACACGTAAGAAAATTAGTTCTTACCTTTTGAGGTCAATATAATTTTCTAGGATCAACGCTCAAACTGTAAGAATACATTAATTACATCCATTTAAGTATTATGCACGCTCAGATTCCTTGAATTCCGAAAAAAAAGTTGGTATATACTAGATTTGACCTAAATAGGACAAAGGATTCAAAAAGAATAATTTAGGAATTTAAATAATCTGAGCTTGCATAATACTTAAATGACATTCACATTGACCCTAGAAAATTATATCGTCCTCAAAAGGAACGAACTCATTTTCTTACAGGTAATTTTTATGGGAAAACTTAAGGTTCGAGGCGGCACCTCTTACAATTGTCCTTATTCCGGTCGCATTGCAGGACTTCATATTTTTTTGACGTAGTCTAATGTACGTACGTAAATACCAAATATTTATTCATCCATAAATATTAATTTATTTAAATGCTACCTTTATATGTTTATACATACGTACATATGTATGTATATTTCTATGTATATGCAGCAGTTAATGTTGTTGCTATTATTGAAATTCAACTCAACTCAACTTTCTGAGCGCATAAATTTGTGTAAATAAGTATTTGCATTTCCATTGAAGAGATATTTCTGCCATTACTTGATATACTTACTGTCGCAACTTTTCTGAGTATATTACAAATAATTTTTAAGACTCTTCACTAGGTCAGCATTTACTTTCCTTGAATTGATTGCATCCAATTTTTCTACTATTCCAGCACTTATACTTTTCTATGGCTTTTTATATGTAGATGAACAAAAGTGTAACAAGTATGCATTTATTTATTGGATACCTTTAAATAGAGCAATATAAAAAGGACTATTAGTATTTGCAATCATTTATTTATTTGTTATTTATTTTTGTCGGCATCAGGCACGAAAACCACGCGTGATCCATTTTTTATAACAAAAAAACCCCGTTATTGTCGTATTTGATGCGCTTAAGTATTAATGGCTTGACTATTTTCCATCCTATTTTTAAAATCGGAATCGAACAAGCTTTGAAAAGTGGTTTTATATACATTTAAAATTGTGTATAACAATATATTGTTAGGCTTAGCTCGTTGGGAGTTTTCATCGGTTAAATTTTAGTCTGCTCCTATTTTTCTGCATGTTTTCAACTTTGGCCAAATATTTATGAAAGTTGCCAAAAAAAATGTGTAAACATTGTGGAAGTTAGGCAATTTAAGCAAAAATGCGGCCTTGAATTTATATATGTTTATGTACCGGACCTTCAGATTTTTTTAGCAGTGTGGCTAAAGAGTTCATCAATATTTACTCAAAATTTACAAATATAATGGCTCTGAAGAAAAAAAATTTATTTTTTCCTAAAATTTGAGAAAAATGCGCGTGGAACTGCCCACTTATATCATATATGTATGCATATCTCAGAAACTAATTGACCGATGTGTAGTTAATGAAAAAATTAATTTCATGAAAATAATTTTGAATATTTTATTATAACAAGGAGTACACTCACATTTGACACTGACTGTACATACCATGCATTGTTGCTTCGAAACGTGAGTGTGTATGGTACAGATTGAAAAATTTATGATTTCCTAAAAAAAAATCTTTGAATTGCATGAGAAATCTTAAAAATATTGTATTAAAAATGTTTGTACATGGATTAAACGATACCATGTAGGGATCGATACTTTTACTTGGAAGTAATATCGAAAGAAAATATCGATACCTGAAAAATATCGGAGCTAAAGTATCGATACCCACTCATATGGATACTTTTGGCTATAAGGGGTATGCCTTGCGAACTAAATAAGTAAAATTTTGGTTTGTTTTCATGTCTTAAATTAACTATTATCTGGGAGTCCTAAACTCCAAACAATATTTTTAATTATGAATGGTATCTTATACCATCCAGTTCATCGGAAAATATTACAATAAAATTAATCTCGTTTAAAAGAAATTTTGTCATACAATTGGTACAAAAATTATGAACCAAAGATTTAAATACCTACGATAGTCTCAATCTTGTCCCCTTGTTACTTCACCTCGCAGAATTCTACATAGCGTGGAGAGTACAGAAACAGAATGATACGGATAAAATTTTATTGAAAGAAATTCTTAAAAGCATTGAAAACATTAAAGATTTTCTAGAATCTAGATAAAGCGAAGTAGAATAACTTTTTCTATTTGACATCTACTTTTCGGCAGACTGGCGCTTAAATTTTTGGAATATTTCAGCTTTTTCGAAGTTTTTTTGAAGTGAAACTTCTTAATCGAGTTCGGAGATGGTTGCGTTAAATATTTAACAACAAGCGATAAAATCTGTATCGTTCGTTCGATTTTCAAAAATGAGGTGTCAAATGAAAGAGCTTGATCTGTAGATGTGCAATATAGTTTTAGGTGTTTAAAGGGTTGCCATATATACGAAAACCAAATTCAAATTATTTATTAAGTTAAATGAATTATCCCAATATGGGTATCAAAAGAAATGGTTTCGAATAAACTGTATTTTTTAGCTACATGTAGGAGGGTTGCCACCTGTTTCAAAATTCTTATGCATAAAATACTATATAGTAAGCGTGAAATGAAAGGGCTTAAAGAAACACAATTAAAATATTTTTGAGGTGCTTGAAGACGGTGACCACCTGTTTAAAAAGTTAAACTCAA